GCAGAAAGACAAGGAGAAAGGAAGGAGAGAGGAAAAGATAGGGAGAGAGAGAGCTCCCTTTTGAGGGTTGAGGGACCACACTATTTTTTGAGTGTGTATTTTTTAAATTCTACCTAGTAAGTCCCTTTATGCCTCAAAAGAAAAGAAAGAAAAAGATGAAAAGAAAGAAAGGAAGGAAGGGAGAGAGGGAGGGAGGGAGGGAGGAAGGAAGGAAGGAAGGAAGGAAAAAATCGCCAGGTGGCACATGCCTGTAATCCCAGCACTCAGGAGGCTGAGGCAGGAGGATCGTTGTAAGTTCGAGACCAGCCTGGGCTACAAAGTGAACTCAAGTCCGGCTTGAACTGCATAGCGAGACCCTGCCTCAAAAAGACAAAAAAAGAAAGAAAGAAAGAAAGGGAGGGAAGGAGGGAGACAAGGAAGGTTCCCCACAAAAAACCAGATGCAACTCTGCACATTGGTGCAAAGATCGCCTTCTCTCCTGAGAAGTTTCTGGAAGCATCCTCCTCTCTTGCAAATGGAAACTGTGCTGCCTTCCGCCAGAGAACATGCGTGCCTGGAGCTGGTCAACCAAAAAGATCGTTTCTAAACTAGTCAGCACATGTTTGGAGACTGCAGGCTGGACAGACCCTGGAGGCCTGAGAGGGGACTTCTGCCCCCAAGGAAAGACCGAACCCAAGCCAGGGATTCTTGGCCCTATTTAAATAGCATGCAGAAACCTCAGAGTGCTGGGAGGAAAAGAAAACAAACAGCTGAAAAATCAGCTTTTTCTTTCTCTCTCCTGAGGTTTTCTTGAGTTAAAAAGGAAAAAAAAAACCTCCTCCAGCATTCTGTAAGACCTTTAGACTTTTACCCATTCCAATTAATAATTTTAAAAGCAAATCGACTTGCTTGTCATTCAGTAGTGTATTCTGAAACTAACAATGACATTTTGGAGCTATAAAGATAAGTCAGCGGGCTTTTGTTTTGTCTTGTTTTGTTTTGTTTTTGGAGACAAGATCTCACTGTGTAGGTCTGGCCTCAAACTGGCTATGTAGCCCAGGCTGGCCTTGAGCTCTCAATCTTCCTGCCTCAGCCTCATGAGGGCTGGGATTATAGGCAGGCACCATCATGCCCAGCCTCTTCTTGGGCATCTCTGTTGCTATTTTTCTTGCCGTACATATTCAAATTTGCCCCTAATTTTCATACCTAGCAGCACTTTCATTGCCTGCTTATGCCAAATTCATTCCCTGAAAGTTACTAGGTGTCTACTCCACGCCAGGCATCCTGCAAGAGCCCGGAGATAAAACAGGGGTGAGAAGCTGGGCGTGGTGGAGCACAGCTGTCATCCCAGCACTCTGGGAGGCTGAGGCAGGAGGCTCACAAGCTCAAATCCAGCTTAGACAACCCTGTCTCAATATGAAAATTTTAAAAATTACAAAAAGAAAAGAGCTGGGGTGTAGCTCAACGTGAAGGCTCTGGGTTTGGTACTCAGTCCTGTGGGGGAGTGAAAAACAGGCCAAGGATGGCAGGCACTGGTGCACGAGCACCCCGGCTCCCTCACCTCTAGGGGAGCTTATGCAGGTGGTGTGTTTTCTACAATACCCTCCAAAACCTCGGAGTGAAAATAAGCTCCCGTTACCTGTCCTGGTACCTTGGCTGGTAAAGCACCTGCTGTGGCTGTCTTCCTTTCCCCTCTTTCTTCCCGTCCTCCATAGTAGTTTGCTAGAATAATTTCCTAAATAATATACTTTGTCCACAAATTCCCCCACCAGGGACTGCTTCTACAGCCTTTCAAGGAGCATATTGGAAGCACGCACACTGCTTCTTTGGTAAAGCAGTCATCACCTGACAGCAGACACTGAGCCCTGGAAAATGCACCTGGGGTAAAACCCCTAACACTCAACCCTTACCTCACACCATATACATAAATTAAGATAAATCAGACTATAGCGCTACACGCAAGAGATAAAATTGCAGAACTGCCAGCAGAAAACACAGGAAAATAATCTTGTAGCCTTGGGTTCGGCAAAGACTTTTTAAATAAGACACAAAAAGAAAAATAGACAAATTTAGCATTATTAGAATTTTAGATTTTACTCTTGCAAAGACACAGTTTAGAAACAAAATCAAAAAGAGACAATTAAAGAATCTAGAAGGAAAGCTAAAACCAAGAGAAAATATTTGCCAAACAAATATCCGGCAAAAGGCTGGTGTCAGGGTACAAGATCAAGATCTCTTACAACACAAGGGGGGCTGGGGCTGGGGATTTAGCTCAGCGGCACAGCACCTGCCTGGCAAGTGCAAGGTTGTGAGTTCAATTCCTGGTACCAGGAAAAAAACAAAACAAAACACGAGGGGGGAGTGGGCAAAAGAAATGAACCAATACTTCATAAAAGATGCAAAAATGAAAAACCTGTGCAGAGGTGCTCAACATCATTAGTCATTAGGGCAATGCAAATTAAAGCAATAATGAGAGCCGGGTGTGGTGGTGCACGCCTGTAATCCCAGCACTTGGGAGGCTGAGGCAGGAGGATCACCATGAGTTCAAGTCCAGCCTAATCTACATAGCAAGACCCTGTCTAAAAAAAAAAAAAAAAAGGAATAATGAGGCTCCACTACATAGAAGTTCATTCAAATAGCTAAAACTATGAAGACTGACAACATGAAGCATTAGTAAGGATGTCTGAGTTAACAGAAAGCATATACTTTGTTGGTGGGAATATAGATACTTTTTAAAAACATAGCGTGTGTGTGTGTGTGTGTGTGTGTGTGTGTGTGTGTGTACACGTGTGTACTGGGGACTGAACCCAAGGCCTTCACCTTGAGCTATATCCTCAGCCCTTTTTATCTTTTATTTTGAGAGAGGGTCTTGCTAAATTGCTAAATTGCCCAGGCTGGGCTCACACTAGCAATCCTCCTGCTGGGCTGGTGGGATTATAGGCATACGCCACCACACCCAGCTTGTTTCTTATAAATTTAAATATATATTCACCACATAACCTTAGTCAAACATTAATTTTACTCCTAGATTTTTGAATGAAGAGAATTGAAAACATATATCCATACAAAGGTCTGTACGCATGCTCATAGCAGATTTCTCAATAATAACCAAAGCCAGAAAGAGCCCAGCTGTCAGCTAGCACAGCAGCAAACAAATTGTGCTGCCTCCACTCGGTCGACCTCTGCTCAGCTGTGTGAAGGGTGAGCTGCTGACGCACACTGCAACACAGACAACTCTCAACGCACTGCCAGGTGAAAGGAGCCAGACTCCAGGGACTGCCAACTGTGGGTTCCTCAGGAGACAGAAGCAGATCTGTGAGCGTCAGGGGCCACGAGCAGGGCAAGGGGGTCAACTGCACGGGAAGGAAGAAACTCTGGGGGTGATGGGCATGTTCCACGTCTCGACTCTCACTGTGATTTTGGGAGTGTGCATATTTGTCAAAGCTCAGCAAACTGTACTCTTGACATTGGGGATTTTATGTTACAGAATTTTTTTTTTTCTTTTTTGTCTTTTTGAGACAGAGTCTCACTATGCAGTTCAGGCTGGCCTTGAGCTCACTTTGTAGCTCAGGCTGGTCTCAAACTGGCAACAATCCTCCTGCCTCAGCCTCCCAAGTGTTGGGCATGGCGGTGCACATCTGTAATTCACCACTTCCAGATTAGAACAGAGGTGGTTACGCCCTGACTGTGTGTTTTGGTAAAAGTTGGAGCCTTGGACTTGTTGCTTAAACCAAATAGTACAAATGTAACACTGTCTATGCTGAAGCTTGGAAAGTAGATTACAGACATCTTACAGAGATCGTACTCTCCCCTTTGAAACCCTTCAGGGATTTCCTTTGTCTTTTTCTCGTTTTTTGTTTTTGTTTTTGTTTTTTTTGGGGGGGGGCTTATTTTTGAGACAGGGTTTCACTATGTAGTCCACTCCGGGCTTGAGTTCACTATGCAGCCCAAGCTGGCCTTGAACTCACATGATCCTCCTGCCTCAGCCTCCCAAGTGGTGAATACACCATGCCCAGCTTCTTATTTCTAATACATGCTTAATAATCGCTAATGTGTATAAGCCAAGCAGATTAAGAATGGAGAACTTTTAAGTAGGAAAGAGGGAAGGAGGGAGGAAGGGAGGAAGGGAGGAAGGGAGGAAGGGAGGAAGGAAGGAAGGAAGGAAGGAAGGAAGGAAGGAAGGAAGGAAGGAAGGAAGGAAG